ATGTCAAATTTGTAATTTACGCAACCATAGAACGACTAAATATTAAAAGTACAATATAGAAAACACAACAGATTGCACACAAGTAAACATTTCATACACAAATTCGTTACCAATTTTTGATATTTTTTCATAACATTAGACAATTATTTTAATATACAGATAGGTACCGCTAATCATATCACTGAAGACTTTATCAAGTTGAATAATTCGACATATTATAAAAGTTAGAACCAAGTTTCTATTAGAAATTGATAAATTTTTTTTTTTTTTTGGTTTTGGGTTGTAATTGTTGTCTATCTCTAATAAAATTTTAATATAAAATTTATTTAAAATGATGTAATTAAGAGACATTAGAAGTTGAATGAATATGTTAGGGAGTAGTGTTGTTTAAATATATTGAGGGGGATAATAAAGCATATGATTAATTAGGTAGAGAGAATTAAGCAGGTCGGGCGTGATCAAACAGTAAATAGGAGGATTTGTCTTTATTAGCAGCATATTATGAACAGGTGCGTGCGTAGTCCAGCTAAATCCAACCATTAATTAATCCCTTTTTTAAACCTTAATTAAATCACGTACGTTTCCAGCTTATTCAAATTGATTTCCTTTTAATGACCTTGCTTAATTATAATCTTGTTATCAGAAATTGTTCTCCATAAACGTCAAATTATGGATTAGTCGACAAACATCAGTGTCTACCCATTGCAATCAAGAGTAATTAACAACTTAATATTCCATTAATTATATAACTTGCCTTGTCAGGCACTGTCTGATGTATGAATGAGAACAATGGTAAAAATTAACAACTCAAAAGGGAATAATGTTAATTAATTAACCAGATAATAATTAATTACTGCAAATTGCATTATTAATATATTACATATATATATATATACTTTACTGTAAAAAAAAACAAACTTTAATTCAAAAAAAATCATGTATTGAATATCATTTGTGATATGACCGAGTAGAACCACGTCGCCCCTTTTGCTTTTGGGGAAATATCCACGCACTTATAATTATTTTCTTTTGGGGAAATATGTGTATATATTTTTTAAAAATATTATTACTAATTTCATAAAAAAAAAACAAGATTTCATTATTTATCACATTAACGTAAATTAACAGTTGATAGATATATTTTAAGAGTCGATGTGTTAAGAAATACGAATTAAGTGACTAAAAAATGGAGGAAATTTTTTACTAAAATATTCATAATTCAATATGGCGGAAGAAATATTTTATTAAAATGTAAATATAATTAAAAACAAGCAACTAATACTTTTTTTTATATAAAAAAAAAAACTTAAAAGGTGGCATGTATGTATACAAATTAATATCTTAATTAAATTTATTTTACATTTTTTTTTTTTTTTTGTATTTTAAATCTATGTAATTATTATATATTATCTTCATTTTTATACTCATAAATCCCTCTTTGAAAAAATTGAAAGGTATATAAAAATACTTTTAAATATTTGTATAGAATTTAATTATTTCTAATTTACAGACAAGAAATTGTACTGTTAGTCTGACCTTAATGGCTAAACAGCACAAATTTTAACTCTAGTTTATTTATATATGCAATAAAAAAACAGTGTACGGAACCCCAATAGTTTATAATAAGTGTAGCTACCCAACTTTATTTGGCCACCAGGAAAAAAACGTTATCTTATTCTTCTAATTAAATAAACATATATACATATGTGTGTGTGTGTGTGTGTGTGTGTTTTTGGCTCTTTTTGACTCTTGAATTAAATTCTCGTTTGGTGGGTGTCTTGTCTTACGATCCTGATTGCCCTTTTTCACTTATTACATTTCTCATGGCCTCTTCTTATTTAATGTTTGCATACATATATATATATATATATATATATAGTGGCTTTCGGTTGTTCTCAATCTCCATCTACACTTGCTTTTTCTAAGTTGATCATTCTCTAATGAATATAAAGACAAGTTAGACTTTGTTATTTCTTAAAACTCATGTATATTGTATGTTTTACCGAGGTGAAAAAGGGTTAGGTACTATTTAGTATCATATTAGTTTCAACTAAATTTGCATAATAATAAGTAAAAAAATAAATAGTGGGTTGAAAATAATTGTTTGAGTCAAAGGAACAATTGGGTAGAGAGATGGTTCTGTAAGGAAGGGCAATTGAGAGGGACAAAATGAAAGTTGAAGAGAGAGTCGTGATTTAAGGGAAATTAGGCATGAAGATTGTAGAGATGAGACACAAGTCAGACTGGTCGTCATCTTGGCATGTGGTTTGTCTGCTCTTCCTTTGACACTTTTCTCTGTTTCCACAACTGCCTCTCTCCCTCCCTCCCTCATGGGTATATTATGTGTCTGTGTATATACGTACATGTGCATGTGTTTGTGTATGTGTATATACGGAAGAGTCATGTGATTGTTTCTTTTGTCCATCAAAGCGTGTCTCGCACACATGACAGGGTTCGTGTCATGTGTATACTGACTGGTTCACTACATGATTCTATATGACTATGCATATAAATAACAAAAAGGGAATGTAGCATTTTAGAGAGAATTCAAATTTTCATTAATTAACTAATTATTTATTTATTTATTATAAGCCCATTTTCACATGTTCATGTAGATGTAACAGTAGGAACTAAAATATGGAATTCAACATGTCAACATTCCAGCCTATTCCGGTCCAAATAAAAAAGTGAAAATTCACAATCAATTTCTTTATATTCCGAAATCAACCGAGCCGGCCTATGTATAATATATATATATATATATATTACAGGCAGTATGGTCCATTTGGGTTTGTCTCCAAAACTGATGTTGGGGCCCATCTATGGAAAAGCACAGTGCTGGTTCTCGAGCTGGACATTTTAAGAGTTTCATACCTCTAAAACTCAAAATATGCATGTGATTATAACTTTGTTCTCACTCTGAAACTCGAAGGATATTTTATTATTCTCCCCTACCTAAATAACTATCAAGTGCTTTTTTTTTTTTTTTTTTTTTTTAATCCTTAGTTACAAGCTTATGCTATCTATATAAAAAAAAAAATACTTGGATACAAACTCTCTTTTAAGTATGCATTTTTCTTTTTCTATATTTAATTTTAATATTATATTTTCTATTATAATAAAAACAATAATAATTATTATTTTTTTATTTATTTTAAATGCTCTGAAATAAATATATAAGACACACAACTTTTAATATTATTTTTTTTTTCTTATCAAGTTCCAACCATTTTTAATTTCATTTTCATTAACTAACATTATCTATGAGAATAAATAAAGGACCATATGACTATAATGACATATATAGTAAAAAGAGAGAATCTTAGAGTATATAACTTAAAAATTTACTTAGTCACAACTTCATTCTTTAACAATAGCTTTATAATTCAGTCAGGGATATTAACGAAAGAAACCAAAACATTAACTCTATTCAAACAT